AATACAATGAGGATGATGTCTTTGCTCATGTATGTGATTGCAAGAGGATGTTTATGCTCTAATTATGTGAAATTAATTAACGGCCCATCCTATCTGAGAGGTTGGAATCTTTATATACAACATTTTGGATTAGGTAATGGGAGAGATACAATTTCTTCCTAACTTCTCAACGAGTACGTAGGAGTAGGGAGAAGACTAGTTATTCCTTAGATATTGGAGGAATGATTTTCTCTTTTGTTGATGTGACTCAAATTGGCCTCATAGACACCTCATATGTCATTTTGGGATGAGACAAGTGGATAATGGGTATAGATTTGGATCGGAAACCCCAATCCAGAATTGTGTGACCCGAGAGCGCATCCGCCTAGCACGTTTACAATTCTCTTAGAATCGTTTAAATCATGAATTGTTCCTCACATGAAAACCAATAAAATTATCTCAACCTATACGGTATAAGTATTAACGAGGATAGATTAATAAATATGATTTATGTATAGACCTAATAATTATTAAGTAGTAATGAATTACATTCTCCGAAATCAAAAACCTTAATCCACTTGTTCTTTCATAAGTTAAGTGTGTTTTATATAATTGAATGAAAGAAAGGTATAATGTAAATATTTTCATAATAAATCAAATAAATTATAAGTTAAGAAAAATTTGGTTAAGTTTATATCTAGTGTAGAAAAATTTTAGGTATGATGAACTAAGCGGTACAAGGAAAACTTGAATGATTTATATATAGTGAAGGCAAATCACAAATATTTGGATACTGCATGGCAAATTTGAATGGAACATTTACGACCAATATAGAAAAATCGTGAGTACAAAATAAAGTAAGAGCATCTCTAATGAGATAATATATTTTGATTGTTTGTGTTATATTTTGTGGGTCTAAATTGTCATATTATATTTAAATAATTTATAAGCAATCTCAACTATTTTTGTTCTAATAATAATTATAAATAAGTAATATATATTTGACCTGACCAATTTATATTATTATATTTACACTACAATTGGCAATCACCATATATTACTATTTCAATTGAATTGTCTCAAAAATAATAACATTTAATGTTAAATTCTCAAATTTGCAAGTTGTTTCATAAAGCTTCATCACTTAAATATAATCAATATTATCACATTATCACACTCCAATGGTAAAAATAAAAAAAGAATGGAATTTAAAAACTAAACAATCTCTAAATTTCTATTATTGAAGATGTTGTAAGGCGTTTGAAACTAATAACTATGTTATATAGTGATATTTATATTACCTATTATAAGAGCTATGTAAGATTTTCAATGATGTAAGATACGATAAATGGGTAGCTAGACAATTAATGGTCCTAGTTAAAAAATCTACTAGGATTAGTATATATCACAAGTAAGTTATTTAGAGAAACTCTTAATACAGTTTTGTACGAGTTGAAGTAAATCTTTGAAAATTTTAAAATGTTTTTTAGAGATATATTTTCAAACGCACCAAAAATCAATTTTTAAGATGTTTCAGAAATGAATCTCCAAAAATCTCTTATTTTCATTAAAAAATAACTGAATTTAAAGATTAATATCTGAAACGTGCATTGGTAGTATGATAAGAATTCTTGAATCCAAATTGCTCCAAATCTTCTATAAATAAGGTCTTCAAACCATTTCTTCAACATCACACGCCACAAATAGAGATGATCCAAATATATTCCCACCTTACTTTTGTCTACTTCAATATTGAGAAGTCGCCACTTCAATTTAGGTTCTCCGAGGACACATACCGAGCTGATTATCATATTATATCTAAAAAAATTGAAAGGTGGTCAAACTCGAATATCGTTCACCCTCACTTAACACGGAAGGAAAGGTAAAGTTTACCCATTTTGCACTAAAGATAGATGATAATTTAAAGGTTATGTGGAGTACTTTTCATCGATACTCAACTAAGGATCCGATTGAAGTGAATGTGAAGCTTCAAAGATCAGAAGAAGATGTTATCAAAATGTTCCAACATTCCCAACTACCCGTTTGTAACAATATGTAATATTAAATTTTTATTCCACTATCTATGTTAAATTTATGTTAAGTTGATTTGGTTTTAAAGTTTTTTTGGTTTTGTTTGAAAGTCAATGTTTATTTCAGATATGTGTGTCTGAAAGTTACAATTTGGTGGCTTCAGATATACATCTCCGGACCTATTCAATAAAAAATTACAATGTGGTGAATTCAGATATACATATCCGAATTAAGGAGATATTACAGAAATTTCACCAAAGACCTCTAAAAATATATAAGGGTGCACTAAAAAATAACTGTTACTTATTAGCTTGTAAGAAGGGACAAAAACAGAAATAGAAGTAAATACTTAGTACAGAAATTTAGATTAATTTACTTTTATTCCAATGCTTAAAAGAGTAAGAATATAACATTCTCACGAGAATAAATTCATTCAACTATAACTTTTCATTATCACTCATATTTATTATTAATTTTTATAATTTCAAGTTAAATCAGATTTATAATTATTTCCAAGAATCTTAATTTTTTACTAAACCCATCCGATAAAATAATATTCTCAAAAATAATAATTCTAGAAATATCCTTATAAAAAATATAATTGTAAATCTTAAAACAAACACATTCTTAAACTTAAATTTCATTATAGTTAATTTGATCTTTAAATATTTAAAGGGTTAGAAATATTATTCCACACATTTCTTCGTTAAAATCTTTCTCCTTCCTTTGTTTCCACTACATTGAACCACATGGAACACACACAAATGATGAAGATAAAGAAATATGTGGAAAACTATAAAAACATCTAAATATTTTTAGGGGAATGGTTGAGTAAGTAACTTTCAACTAAAAGTCTCACAAAATTTATTCCACACAAAAAATCTATAAAATCTATACTTTTTTTTAATGCCAATAGACATTTTATATGTCGTTGAAAATCTCACTTAAATACGAAAGGAATATTGGCTTAGTCCCCCTCTTCTTTTCTTTTTTTTTTGTAATGTTTCTTTCCTTTTTTTAGTAATCCTTATTAAAAAAAAGAATAATATTTACATTTTTATCTTAATTTTTTTTTATTTAGTAAACTAATAGCTAAATTTGCACTCTTTAAAAACGAACAAATGAAAATGTCACATATTTAACCTCACGTTTGAACACCCGTCCCACAATTGAATGTTCGTGTAGATATCTACTCAACTAAAAGTCTTCCAAAATCTCTTGAAATCACAATTTAATACCCTCCCTAAGCATAAGGAAGCTATCTATTTTATGACATCAAATAAATTTAAATTATAACTATTATTATCTCAAATTAAAACGAACTTAAATTATTACAAACTAAATTAAAATAAAACAAAATTCTCAATAATTACTAAAATACGGATTCTTGTCCATATTTTTTATTGTGGCCCTCATCACCATCTAAGATGAAAAAAGTCTAGAAAACAAGTAACCATGGCAACCTTGCACAGTATCTAGAAGAGGCATAGTTTGACAAGCATCCTCAACATCACGATTCATCCATTTTTCTAATATAACTTCAGCAATAGGAGCAACTTGATGCTGCAACAATGCTGCTCCAAGTGGTCCTATCAAGTTCAGTCTTGTAGCAGCAGATATCACATCCCTCATTGTGATGAATATATAAGCTCTCTGAGAACTCGTACTATCGAATCCCAATGCTCCACATGTTAGTCCGAATATAGGCGCGTGATGAAAAGTTACAGTCCCTAACTTTAATGAAGCATCTCTCATTGTTTTGAGAGAGGGCATCTCAGAAAACACAGCTGAAGCTACCCTCATTAACGCAGATCCTTGCGAGATTGACGCCTTTCGACCCACTTCGTTAGTAAGGGTAGCATCCAATATTCTGTCAAGATTATGCCAGTTTTCCATATTCGGCGATGTGCAAGTTGAATATACGAAAGGAAGGAATAAGCTCCCTGTATTCTCCAATACATGAATAAGGAATGTCTTGAGGTCATTGGAATCAGACACTATGCGCGACTGAACTGCAGCTTCAAGACCAAAAGAATGAGCAAATCCACCAGTAGGTAGAATCGAATCCAACAACTGCCATTGACTCCACTGTAAAAATGAGTTTTCAAAGACAGGTTGGCGGTGCTCTTCCTTCTCTTCCTTCGTTTGCATTATGAAATATGTGATATTTATCCAAAGTTGACCAGGAGTGCCGGATTACTACAGGTGCCAATAAACCACATTTACACATTCAAATTTGTAAAGTCTAAAATGTTTCCATAGATCATTTGAAATTGTATTGCATATGTAAGATATAAACTAATGAAGACAATTATATTATGCATTTTCTATGTTCAGCACACAAGTTGAAAATTGTTTTGTTCTTGAAGGAATAGGAGCATTTAACTCGGTCAAATATACAAACTCTGAAAAAATAAATAAACAGTCTCTCTCTTTCCGTTATCTTTCATTTGACACTTCCTTTCATGAAACTATATATACACTTCAGTCTATTCAGAATCATCATCTAACAGATATTTTAAAGCTATATATAAGCTACTCGAGTAACAACAACAACAACCACAGCTAACCAATCTTTATCCCACTAAGTGGACTCGACTACATGGATTGTTTCGTAGTTGATCAATGTCATAGAGATTCGGAAAAAATTTACGTTGATTGTCGACTACCTAACACAAACCTCTTCTTTTATCTGGACTTGGGACTGGCTATGCATAGCAAAGCTAACATAGGCAAGATTTACTCAAGTAACAACACTCAGTCAAAAAAAGAAGTAGCAAGTTACAACATATCAAATTCCATGTTAAAATCAAATAGCATTGAGAAGTAGGAAGTTCAAACAATCAATTAAAGCAATTTTTCCTTAATGTGATTGAGATTAATTATTCTGCAATTACAAGTCAATCTACTGTACCATGACATTCTCTATGACCTCAAGCCTAATACTATATCATCACCCAAGAAGAAGAAGAAAACTAAGATTAATGCTATCAGGATCCATTATTCTCCTTCTTCATGAAATGAAACCCAATAACACCCCTATACTCTCCACTTCCAACGCACCGAGAGCAATCCGTAAGCCCACTTCCGCCACAGGTCTTACACCAACTCGGCCATTCACCTTTCGGAAGTACTTCCAAATGAACCTGATTCGTCCTTCCTCTTCCTTCACAACAATGGCAATCCACTCTTCCACTCCCCTCACATACCACACAAGGTGGATCCGGCTTCTTTCGTATTTTCCTCCGGACATTTGACTCTGTCCTCACAACCCATGATATCTTCCTGATTGAGAGATGAGGCAATGATGAATTGCGTGATCGATAAGACGGCAACCCATTAAAATTTTCCACCTCGTTTCGCACCGGGGTTAATAAACTCAAAGCCACGACAAAACCCATCAAGTAAATGTGAAATCTGAAACAAACAAAAGGTACCTACTCACTGAGGACTTTTAACAAACAGTTTCTTACATATTGGTCAGTGATTAAAAAAAAACCAGTTTTGACCTTTAGGTATTGCGATATAATCATTTTTAGCCCTAAATAAAACTATGAATCTTCCTAATAGGGCCGAAAATAATCATGGAAATAAATTTGAAAACAAAGATATGATTTTTAAGTAAATTCATGGAATCAAGATAACGAAATTCAAGAAAGCTGCAATTCAACTCAGAGCATATAAAGAAATGAAGAATTTGGGTATGAGAATTTGATTACCAGGTGGAGTTGAAGAAGAGGAGAGAGTGAAGTTTCTTGTTCGCACTTTCCGTTTCCGACGCAATTCTGCTACTGGATTGTGTTTTTGTTTCTCTTTTCAGCTTTATCTCCGATTGAAATGTTTTTGTGAAATTTGTGTATTTAAATTTTTAAAAGTTTAAAATTGGTCAATAACTAAAAAAAACTACCAATTTATTTATGAAAATGAGAAGTTAAACTAAATCTATCTATAACTAATTACATTACATTAGTAAAATATTTGTGCGTCTATAAATTTATTTAATTAAATTAAATTTGAAATGAATTATTTAATTATAAAATGAATAATGATAGTATAAATTCAATTGTGTTATAAATGATAAGATTATGGATATCTATCAATCAAGAGATTTCGTATTGATTTTTCATTTATTACATATCTCTTGTAAATATTTAAACATCTGTTCAAAATATGAATGATAAAATATATTTTTTTCCTTCTTTTTCAACATGCTCTTAGACTTGAAAGAATCTTATGATGTTGTAAGGTAATATTATTATTTTTTCTTTTTATAATGTATATTTTCTACCTATTATTTATAACATATGGATTAGAAAAAGAAAAAGAAAAATAATGAATATCAAACATCTCAGAAAGATAGTAAAAGAATATTTATATAAGTTCTTGAAAAAAATTAACAAACATTTCTAAAGGATATCAAAATAACAGTATATAGTTCCGAAGAAGTTATAAAGCATTTTTGAAGGATAATATTAACAATTCCAGAAGGATTGCGTCTATAATATTAACCATCTCAAAAAGATTGCATCTATAACATTAATGAATCCCAAAAGTATAATATCATAAAATGATTGTCATTCCAGAAGAATGACAAATAATTTTAAGACATCTCAAAAGAATAGTTATATTTTTTAGATCATTGTTTATAATAAACAATTTTAACGCGTGTGTGTGGTCTAGTGGTGAAACATTTGGATTTAACGCATCTTAGAAAGATGATTATATTTATTTTGGATTATTGTTTATAAATCTTTATATTATTCTAAATTTTCTCTCTCTCTAACATTTGATTGTGTTAGAAACTTCTTCAAATTGTTAGAATATAACTTGTTACATGTTTGAGATTATAAATCTATATTTTATGGAAAAAAAGATCACAACATCCCTGAAGAATTATTCAAAGAATGTATTTTTTTCATCATTTATTATACCGTTCACTAAAAGCTTTATATTTCACTAAATGATTGGCTATATAATAGTTTTTTTAGGAAAATGCTTATTAGTAAGAAAATATGAAAACAAAAAAGACAAGAATTAAATCTCAATAATTCATTATTATCACTACATCATGATTCCTATTAAAAAATAATTTAAAATTATCCTTTAAAATAATAACAAATATACATTCTTGCCTTTCTTATTCAAATGATTCTTACTATATAGCATTACTCAATTTTTTATTGTCTTTCATGATTGAGTCATTGTCTATGTGTTTGGTGTTAAAATATTTTATTAGAAGAAATCATGTTATATAATTTATCACTTAATATATTTATGTATCAATGAACCAATGTTATGTATTTTATTGTTGCTATTAAATTTTCAAATTAAGAAACTTTTTTCAAGTATTAAGGTCTATTATTTTAAGATAATTTTTATATTGTTTAATTAATATTTTATTTTTATGATAAAATAAAATTGAATTGCATAGAGTTCTTTTGACTAGATGTGTGTGACCTGAATAATATTATTATGAAATAAATTTAGATTTAATTTAATCATATAAAAACATCTATGTATGGTTTATAAAGATTTATTTATTAGAGAATAATATGGTTGATTCAAATAATTTAGAATAATTAAAATACATATATGTATTATTGTAAATCAGAAGTTTACAAATCACACTTAAATGTAAAATCGGTTGGATCATCTCGAATGTATTATGATGTAGAAGTTAATATTGAAGAACCTGATATTTGTGAATCAATATATAAATCATGTAGACGATTTAAATGTTTTATGATATTAATTATTGCATTGACTTAAAGATCGTGCATATATTTTTTGTCTACTCACAACCAGAAGTTTGTGAAATTGTTTTCTCAACTAAAAGATCATGAATTTGTATCATGATGTGAAAACTCGTGATGAAGAACTAGAAGTTTCTTCAATCCAATAAATTTTATGTGTTTCTACAAAAATTAAAAATCTGAGAGATTGAGCTTTTCATGATATTAATTGTTGCATCAACTAAAATATTATGCAAATGTTTATTCTCTACTCACCACAACCAGAAATTTGTGAAGTTGTTTTCTCAGACTAAGATCTCAATTTCTAAATTTTTCAGAACTTTCTTGATAAGTATCACATATATTATTAAAATTAATATTGAACATCTTGTAGCATATGTTCATAAAAAAATGGACTTGAAGATCCATTATTTAGACGTCTAAAGTTAATTGTATGATTGATACTTGTGAGATCATAAATTCTAAATTAGATATTTGAAACACATAAAATATAAATATTAATATATTTATCTGCATTAAGCCAACAAGATAGTATATGTTAATTCTCCTCTTAACTTATAAATTATTTTAAGATAATAACCTATTACGTCTCATCTAAGTAAACTTTTGGATGTGTTCTGTTTATTCAATTGCTCCAATATAGTACACTAAGATGAGTTTTAAAAGAATATTGAGAAAATGTCTTTTATATGAACCCCGTATATGAGGCTAATAATTGGATACTTGTTTGAAGCCTAGTAGGTTGATTATCAAATAATAAATTAATTTCTCAATATTAGAGGAAGAGAATAAGCAGCTAAAAGTGTGAACCAGAAGTTCAAATGAACCATTTAAGATGAAATATTATCATATCAGTTTGATCCTCAAAGTTCAAAACACAATTCATTTGTAAAGTTTATGAAAAAATTTATCAACTGCTAATAGTCCTCTCAAAGTGGATTCTCCTATTGGACAGTCTAATATTGCAAATGAGTTATAATTTGCTTGAAGCATGGTAGGACATTCGGTTCCAATGTTAAAAGTTTCTACCAAGAAAAGAACCTAAAGTTAAAGATGACCCAAGTGAGAATATGAAAATTCTAAGAGCACTTTGACATAACTTATTTTTTAGTTTCAGAAGAACTAATCAAGTACTTGAAATATGAAATAAATAGACCTCGATAAATTATGTCATGGATGAAATAAAATGAAATCGAAATTAAGATAACCAAATAAAGTCGACATTATATAGCACTAAAGATGATAAACGGTAACGAGGATCATGAAACAAAGTCTACCAAAGATTGTAGACAAAGTGAGAATTGATCAAAATAAACAAATCATGAATCAAAGTCTATCAAAGATTATAGACAAAGTGATAATTGACCAAAATGAACAAATCATGAATCGAAGTCTATCCAAGATTATAGATAACATGAGAATTGACCAAAATAAACAGATTCAATTTAAGAATAATTTAACTCACTTTAAAAGTGAATCATTTTTGGACATGTAGTCCAAATACCTCGTGGTGTGAAATCAATGAGATATAAATAAGTTTTTGTGAAAAAAGAAAAATAAGAGTTGTATAAAACTTGATTTGTTGCTCAATAATTTTCACAAAGACCTTAGAGAGTTTGATGAAACATATTCTCATATAGTGGATTCAATTAATTTTCGATAATTAATTAGTCCTGTAGTACATGAAGGGCTTGATTTGAACATGATGGATGTTGTAACTTCTTATTTGTATGTTTCACTTGATAAGGACATAAAATTGAACAAGTATCTTTGTGGGTTAAAACAATATAGACACAAGTGATATAATTTTTTCAATAAATATTTTCTAAGGGAAAGATATACAAATAAGTCCATAAGTCCTGATATTTTTATGAAAAGTTCTAGAAAATAATTTTCTATAATATTTTTCTATGTATATGATATAAATATTATTGGAACTCTTGAAGAGTTTCCAAAAGCTATAAATTGTTTAAGAAATTTTTTTGATACGAAGGACTAAAGAAAAAGTCCTTACTAAATGAACATTTAGACAATGAAACTTTCATACAACAAGAATGTTATATATAAAAAAGTATTAAAATATTTCTATATGGACAAATATCATATGTTATGTAGTATAAGTGCTAAATGTTTGTATATGGACAAATCTCGTATGTCGTATGCCCTGATGATGTTAGATCGTTGGACGTGTGGAAGATTCTTTTAGACCTCGAGAAGAGGATGGAAACTAATTTGTCCTGAAGTACCACATCTTAGTATAATTCAAACATTAATCTATCTTCCTAATTATACAGACATCGATATATAAATTTCTATTACTCTATTAGTAAGATATAGTTCTTCACCTACACGAAAACAATTGAAAGGAGTCCAACATATACTTTCGTATCTTAAGGGTAAATGGGCATGAGTTTGTTTTATTTCAAGGTATTCAAATTATATTTAAAAGGTTATGTAGAAATAAGTTACTTGTCAAATCTTTATAATAGTACATTGTATATATTGTTTGTTTACTCGATAGTACAACTATTTCATGGAGACTTGTGAAATTAATCATAGCAACAACAAATAGGAATTTCGACATTTAAAAATAAAAATTTTGTATCTCAAATAAAAATAATTGTTAACTAAAATAAAATAAATAGTTG